GTGTCATAGTCGCCGTCTTCTCCAGTGTTTGGTAAGGTGTCGAATATTTCGTCTACGTCGGGGCCGGCATAATGCAGCAACAAAGCCCGTTTCCTTTTCGCAGCTGTGATGTTCATTCCTATAAGCATTCGTTCTAAGCGTCCTAACCATCTTTTCCATCGTGGACCTGCACTGCCATCGGCATGGACGTCGAACGGTGGAAAACTTGGTAGCGAAACCGCCATGAGGTCTCACAGAGTTGAGCGCATTGCAAGCAGCACTTTCTTTCCAGAAAAATGTGCACAGCGAACTCCTCAATGAAAACCAGTGTTGATATGAATATTGACGGTGGGATTCTTGAATTATCCCATCCTCGTCGCCAGATGTAGTATCGAGAGTATCAGTCTCGAACAGAGCTAAAGTAAAGATGAACCACAACGCCCTGCTTGTAGTAAAAACCTTACTTTTTAATAATACTCTCTAATCACGTGATCCAACGTGATTGACTTACGACATTACATATATCTTAGTCATTCAGTACGAGCATATTTTAAAGCCCTGTGCAGGGCTGCAAATAACGGCCCGTCAACGGACAATGTCCGGTCAAAATTGGGTACTGACCGGACAAATCCTTGGTTTGCCGGAGATCTTTTCCGGTCCTTTACCGACTCGTTTAAGGAAATTTTAATTTTTAACTGTTTACTAATCACAAGGGACCCAGTCATGTTTCCAAAAGAGAAAAAAACCAACATAAAAGTAGACAAATTAGTGGTCGAGAAATTCCCGGCAGTCGCAAATCTCCGCGATGTCATCAAGTCCTGTCGCGACCGCAAAACATCGTGTCTTCCGTTATTTTATTTACTTTATTTAAGTGTTCCCAGTTAGTAGAGGGTTTTACCTTTGGCTAGATACCATCATTTACTCTTAAATAAAGTGATTGATTCTTTGATCGATTGAATGATCGGAAAGCACCTTCACGAAGAATAATCTTGTTCCATCGAGAATACTCCAAGTAGCATTTGTTGCAAAGTGCAAAAAGAGAGCTAAAGGCCCAAAACCTGGAGAATCCGACCACTCTTTTACCCTAACAAAAATTCACAACTGTAACTTTAAAAAAAAGGGCTCTGAGTGTAATATTTAATTATAAGTGATTTTGCCAGATGTAAAGTAAAACGGACAATTGCGGTTGTATCTTGCGTAACCGTACCACTTACTCAATGCGAGGCTGCTCCTGCAGTAAAGAGTAGTAAAGTTATTGACTTGTAATTTTTATTGCCAGACCGACTTGGATTCATTTGTTTTTTAGTTGTAAAAGGATTACTGTGCAATCTGAGTTCACTATCGCAAGAGTTCGGACTGTTAAAATTTGACCGGCCAAAAACGGGTAGTGTCCGAGCAAAAGCATGTTTGACCGGACAACGTGACCGGCGACTGCCCGTTAGTTATTTGCAGCCTTGCTGTGTACAAATTAAGTAATCTTAAAAATCTTGTTACAACTTGGATCAAAGAACTGGTGCTTTACTTAATGCTCTCCTTTCTATCTGAAGTGACACTGAAACAATTTTAACGTTGTGGTAGGAGATTTTGCAGATCACATCACTCATGTCTGCTAGTGTATTCTTTCTGAAGATTAAGTTTTATGTGTTGTTTATGTTGCTGATGATTTGTTTCCGAGTCAGGTTTCTTTCAAGTGGTTAAATCTTATCCTTTGGAGACTGACTGGCTTGTTCACTGGTCAGCTTCTGCTATAACTTGATAAATTCTTCTTCTGCCACAGACTTTGATTGTGAATGAATGTTGCATTGAAACGGCTGAACATCTCTCTGAGTTTTCAAGGTTACTGAAAAATGTGAACCAAGTAACACAAAATACAAACACAAAAAACAGCACAAGTCTTAAAAAAATAGCTATCAGTGGTGTTTGAAACACTTTCCCAATATTTCAGTTTCATTATCCTGTAAGTGCAGGCAGGAGGCATCATTTAAATTTAACTATGAAGAACGATCCAAGAGAGAAAACAAAATCTCGTCAGACTTCGGGAGATGATTCATCAGAAGAACAACAACAAGAGGTATTTACTCCAGCTTTATAACCTCCCTCCAGTTTCCACACTGCTCTTTTCAATACTGATTGAGGAGGAACATGCATACCAAATATTGGACACACGTGTAGCAGAGAAGGATATGAGAGAAAATCCAACCAAGAGACAGTGAGGAGCTAGCCGGGCAACAGCTGGGCACTGCTAG